ATTTGATAATGTTTTCCTTTTCATAGGTGTTTATCCCATTTTCATATAATATTTAACAGATAGAGTTAGTATCTTTTTTATTTTTATTTTTTTTCAAGACAGGCTCTCACTCTGTCACCTGGGCTGGAGTGCAGTGGCACAGTCATAGCTCACCGTAACTTCAAACTCCTGCGTTTAAGGGAATCTTCCAACTTCAGCCTCTTAAGTAGCTAGGGCTACAGAAACAAGCCACCATATCCAGCTAATGTTGAAATTTAAAAGCAAAGCTTTTCAAATTTTTGATTAAAAATTTTTTTTGTAGAGACACTGTCTTGCTACATTGCCCAGGCTAGTTTCAAACCCCTGGCCTCAAACAGTCCTCCCACCTTGGCCTCCCCAAACACTAGGATTATAGATATGAACCACTGCTCCTGGCCTCATTTTTATTTTGTACTCACTTTCAATTATTACTTTTTGTCCTTTTTTTAAAATGGATCGTGTTAACTTTCCTTAAAAAGCACTTTTGATAATTCAGAAGGTATAAATAGCCTGCTTATTTAAAAACCTTCGCTTGGATAACTTCAGAAACTTAAGAATTATAAACTCAAATTTATACTTCTTGATATACAAACTTCAGAACTAAAGCTGTCTTCTGACTCTTCTATTTGAAAAGTTACTTAAACTTCTTTCCATCAGTCTCTCATTCTTGATTTTTGTTGGTATCCTGTGGGATTTTTGTCTAGTCTAGTAAAATTAAATTATTATCACTTTAAAGTTTTGTAGCTCTTCTTTCAATAATGATGATATTTATATTCTGTTTTGCAAATTTTAACTATGTTTTCTTATGATTGTATTATTGTTATTTGCCCACGATTAAATTTTTCTAAAATTAAAATTCAGATATTTTTACTTTTAAAGTATTTTTTAACCTGTCTATAACTTTCAGCATCAGTGACTTCCCACTGGTAAAATTCAATTGTAAGGAACACTGTTAGCAATCATTTCTGTATGATGAAGCAATTTTAATGTCTTCAAGTGGCTGATAGTATTTTGTTTATTAAGTTACAAAGAATTAGCTTGCAGCTGGGTGCAGTAGCTTATGCCTGTAATCTTAGCACTTTGGGAGACTGGCAGGAGGATCACTTGAGGCCAGGAGTTTGAGACCAGCCTGTTCAACATGGTGAGACCCTGTCTCTATTTTTTTTTTAAAAAAGAAAAAGAATTATCTTCCACAAATTATCCTAAATAACAATTTATCTGTGCCCTGATCATTGCTATGCTGTAACCAAAGAGCTATATCTGCAACGTGCTATTCCAGTTGTACTGCAAATATTGAAATGTATCTTTACTTTTGTTTGTTTCTTTGTTAAGCATCTATTAACATTTTACTCTCCTCTGTTTTAACAAATATCCCACCCACCCAGCTAATTCAAGGAATTAGATCATCCAAACATCTTTTTGTGTGTGACTTTCAACCATTCCTTTTAGGTCAGTGTTTCATTTGCATTACATGCTGCTCTGCTATTTCTGTAATTTTTTCAGTTGAAGATAGAGCTGTTTATTTTTTCTTCACTATCAGATTATATTATTACCTAATTCAATGTTAAAAAAATATTTATGACTGGGCATGGTGGCTCACACCCATAATCCCAGCACTTTGGGAGGCTGAGGTGGGAAAATCACTCAAACTCAGGAGTTCAAGACCAGCCTGGACAGCATAGTAAGACCTTGTCTCTACTAAAAATCAAAATAATTAGCTGGACGTAGTGGTGCATGCCTGTAGTCACAAATCCTTGGAAAGCTGAAGTGGGAGAATCTCTTGAGCCTGGAAGGTTGAGTCTGCAGCGAGCCATGATCGTGCCGTTGCACTCCAGCCTGGGTGACAGGGTGAGACCCTGTCTCAAAAAAAAACTCTTTAAAGCCACTTTTATGGCATGTATTTAATTCATGGTTTTATTCTACATTCCTCCTTCCTTTTTTTCTTTCTTTTTTCCTACTTCTTCCCTCTTTCCCTCCCTCTTGTCTCAAACATCACAGTAAATACTCAAAATATTAAACATGATCCCATCTTCATGGAGCTTCCATTTCAGTTGAGGAGACGTTATAAAAAACCAAACCACCAATTATACATATAGATAAATAATTGTTTTAAATGATGAGAAAAAGTAAGACAGAATAACAAGGATTAGACTTACAGGATATTTAGCTGATTACTAAAGGAAGATACGGATCTTGCCAGGTGAAGGTGAGGAAGAGCTTCTAGGTAGAGGTAAAAACTTTCAGGAAGAGATTGGAGCTTGATATGTTTAGCAAACTGAAGAAAGAACATTTCTAGCATTTATTTCGCTTGGTAGAGAACAGCAAACATGAAGTTGCAAGGATAGATTAGAGGACAGATAATGGGAGACATTGTAAGTCTTAGAAGGAGTTTGGGCTGGGTGTGGTGGCTCATGTCTGCAATCCCAGAACTTTGGGAGGCCAAAGTGGGTGGATCACTTGAGGCCAGGAGTTCGAGACCAGCCTGGGCAAAATGGCAAAACCCCGTCTCTACTAAAAATACGAAAATTAGCTGGGCGTAGTGGCTTATACATGTAGTCTTAGCTACTTGGGAGGCTGAGGCACGAGAATCACTTGAACCCAGGATGTAGAGGTTGTAGTGAGCAGAGATTGTGCCACTGCACTCCAGCCTGGGTGATGGAGCAAGACTCCATCTCAACATAAAAGAAAGGAGTTTGGATTTTTCTTTAAATGAAAAGGAAAGCCAATGTAGTGTTTTAAGGAAGACAGTTACATTAATTTTTAATTTATTATTATTATTATTATTGCTACTTTAAAGAGAATGGATTGGAAAGGGGCATGAGAGTGTACCATTTGGGAGATGTTGTAATAGTCTAAGCCAGAGATAATCATAACCTTCAAAGGAGTGGCAGTGGAGATAGAGAGAAGACGATGGATTTGTGATTGGCTTTGGAGACAGAATCTGAAAGACTTGCTGATGGATTGTTCATGGAGAAGGATGTCCTGGGATTCAAAGGAGCAGGGGACTTCTGCAGAAACACAGGGAATGTTTATTAGCAGCATTGGGGTGTTGGGAGTGAGATAGAGCCAGGCTTTTGTTAAAACTAGAAGATGACAGGAAAGTTCTGAGAAGAGGTATGAAGAATTTTCTAATTATAGAGCAAGAGTTCTTGACGATACAGGATTCTATAGATAGTGGCTTGGGTTGGATTAGGAGATACTGAGGGCAATATGGGGTTGACAGAATGGCAGTATATGCTTTGAGACCTTGGACTTCCTGTAGTGACTACAGTGAACAGGGCTTTTAGGCAGGTTGGGATGTACCCTTCTGGGAGAGGAGGGCAATCTGACCCAATTGTGTGGTCTTTTGGCTTCCAAGAAATCTTCTTCCCTAGGCTGCAAGGACTCCTACATAGAATTACAAAAAGTTACTGCTACAAAGCACTTAAATAATATTTATTTTTGAAGATAAAGCAAGAAGACTGTCTCCTCTCACTTTTTATTTTTTTTGTAGCATTAATATTCTGCACATGCCATAGAATGTTTCTCCAACACTGCATAGTTTGAAGTGAAAATACTAGATGAAAAAGGCAAAGCTACATATATTATTGCCATTTAGTTTATGTTTTTAATCCATGTTTGTATAGTTTTATACTGTTTGCATCTTTGTTAAATTTTAGATTTTGAAGTAAGGACTACATTAGTTTTAAATTGCTTTGTGGTGTTAAGAGCAAGTTAGTGATTATATTTTCATATTTAAAAGTAAATATGATGGGTTTATAGGCCACACATATGTTCCATGTTCATCCTATCATTTCACAACTAAAAATGAGTCCCGTCCCTAAATAACTGTTCTCAAAGGTTGTTATTTTTTTAAAAAACATGCAATACAGTGTATCAAAAACAAGATTGACAAGTCAGATCCTGGCAAGTATGTATTATGACTAAGAATTTGCTTTCTTTAGGCTGTAATTTTGCTTCAGTGCTTATGAAATTTTGATTTTTGATTACATTGGAATATTAACAGAAAGAAAATAATTCTATTCATTCACAGATCAAAAATAATAGAGTAGAAAATTATTATTGTCAGTATCTGAAACCAGACTTCGCTCATTTAAAAAATATCTTTTGGATCCACCCTATCATAGATCTTCAATATTGTTTCTGAATAGAATATTGAATACTTATAGTGAAGAGCATTCCTCTGTTTCTTTTTTTTTTTAGTATATGTATGTCAGGAAGTCTAATAATGATTTGTTCTTCTAGCAGTTTCCGTATGCCCACTGATCCCAAACCTACAATTACGTGCCTCTTGCTATTGAGGCAGTGTGTTGTGCCCTTTGGTGTATTGTGCTGGAAGAACTATTGAGATGTAAAGATATTTGTTAGGAAAAGAACAGGGCTATAGATAGAAATCCATTAAATGCCAGTATTCTCACAGGCAACAAAAGAACAGGTACCAAAGATTGAAAAGGAAATTTTAGAAAAGGAGGAAAACAAGCCAGGAATGTTGAAAATAGGAAACTAAGTGAGCCTCCACAAAAGACAGTTTCAGAATGAAGTTGAGTCAGCAGGATCAGATGCCACAGAGAGAGGCAGGTTAAGATGAAGATGGGACAATGTCTGTTGCATTTGACCATTAGGAACTGAAGACCATAGTGGGGCATTAGAATGGTGTGGCAGAGCAATATTTCAGTGTGCTGGAAAACAAATGAGAATTGATAAAGTGAAGACTACAAGTGTGGCCTCTTACAGAGTCCCCTTATCTTTTTCTTAGTTTTCTGTGTAGTCTCTGATTATAGAATTTTGAAGTATGTGTAGTTGAAGTTGAAGACGTTAAATATAAACCATACATAGATCTTTACACAGTTGCCAGAAATCTTTTATATTAATGTAATAATTTATGTAAAACTAAATATTTAAAGTTTTGAACTCTTAAAGCACAGCTAAATGGAAACCTTTAATGCAAATGTTAATTTTGTTTCTTTTTTTTTTTTTTTTAGTCTTGGCTACTTATGATTCAGCAGACAGAACAACTTAGTAGGATAATGAAGACACATGCAGAGGACTTGAACTCTGGACCTTTACACAGGCTCACCATGATGATTAAGGACAAGCAGCAGGTGAAGAAAAGTTACTTAGGTGTTCATCAGCAGATAGAGGCAGAGATGATCAAGGTTCGTTTTTCCATATTGAAGTTCTTTCTTGAAATTGTTTTCCAAATTCACTGAAATATTTTACCTTATTTGACTTTAAAAATTATGTATTTGTCATTTTCCAACAAGAAATAGGTTTATGGTCTCTAATAAGTAATATCTTATTGAACATAAAACACTGATTATAGGATATACTGTTACTATATATACTCATATGAAAGAAAAAAGAGGCTCCCAATTAAACTATGACACAAAGCTTTATCACTTAGGCATTTTAGTTTTTATTTACTGAAATCATTCTCTGAGTCTTTTAAAACTAAATTTGTCTTATCTAATACTTTGCATAAATAAAAAAGAAAATATAGGCAAAATTACTTTTGGTATTCTTAAATTTACATATCCCTAATTTTCCCTACATTCAGAGTCTGTCTCTCTGAATGACATTTTTCAAATTATTTTTATTGTAGAAATTTGTAAATGTATAAAAGAAGAGAGAATAGTAAAATGAACTTCCACCTACCCATCACCTGTGTTTTCTATACTCCCACCCACTTTTTTTTTTTTTACATTGGATCATTTTAAAGATATCATTTTATCCATAAATATTTTAGAATGTATAGCTAAAATCAGTGTTCTTGTTAAAAATGTAACTAAATATCATTAATTTGCCTAAAAATAATAATTCCTTCATGTTATTGAATATTCTTTGTTGAAATGGTTATTGTTTAAGCTTTTATTTATAGTTGGTTGGTTTCAGTCAGGATCCAGATACCATCTATACCTTGCATTTGAATGATACTTTAAAAAAATATGTAGGTTCTCCTTCCTGCCCAGTTTTTAATAAGATGCTATTTATTTGTGGAAGAAACTAGATAATTTGCTCTATATAATTGAATTTCCTTCATTTTGGGTTTTTCTGTTAGCATCTTATGATGTGGTTTACATATTCCTTCATCTTTAATCTTTTCTGTAAATTGGAATTTAAATCTAGAGACTTGATAAGATTGGGTCTGGCTGGGTATTTTGGGCAAGAATACATCATAGGTGGTAGTATACACTTCCTGCAGTTTTATATCAGGAGGTATATAATGTCGATTTATCTTTTTATTATATGAAACTTGACTGATTGGTTCCAGTGTTGTCAACCTGATCAATCGATTCAAAAAGTTTTCTGGCTTATGCCTGTAATCCCAGCACTTTGGGAGGCATGGTGGGCAGATCGCCTGAGGTCAGGAGTTCAAGATCAGCCTGGGCAACACAGTGAAACCCCGTCTCTACTAAAAATACAAAAATTAGGTGTGGTGGTGCACGTCTGTAAACCCAGCCACTTGGGAGGCTGAGGCATGAGAATTGCTTGAACATTGGAGGCAGAGGCTGCAGTGAGCCTAGATCATGCCATTGCCCTAATAGCCTGGGCAACACAGCGAGATTCTGTCTCAAAAAAAAAACAAAAAAAAAAAGTTTTGTATCAGTCTTTTACCAAAATAGTTTTACAAAGTTAACCAGTGAGATTTTTCTTGAATGGGGAATAATTTGAAACTCATTTATATTTATATTGTAGTTATTTTTGTTTATTCACACAGTGTCATCGTCTGTGTCATCGAGAACATTGATGATACAGAATTTCTTTAAAATGGGTTTGAGATTATCTTCCAAGTTGCTGATAACCCCTTTTGCAACGTTTTGATGCTTTCTCTTTCTTAGTCTTCTCAAATGGCAAATTTGAAGATCTGTAGACAATATCTGGTACACGTATTTTTTCCTTAAATTGCATTTAAATGGCTTTTTGACTACAGTCAAGGACTTGCATTTGTGTCATTGTTCCATAGAAATAATATCTTAATTGTTTTTTTAATTACAGAATATATTTCTGCACTTACCAAATTAATTTTTTTTTGAATTTTAGATAATGGCAGTGTTATTCTGTATTTGCCACCCCCTTTCCCTGCTGCCTTTTTTTTTTTCGAGTCAAGTTTCAGCCAGGCTGGAGTGCAGTGGCGTTATCTTGGCTCACTGCAACCTCTGCCTCCCGGGTTCAAGCAATTCTTGTGCCCTATCCTCCCGAGTAGCTGGGATTATAGGCGTGTGCCACCACAGCCTGGCTCATTTTTTGTATTTTTAGTAGAGACAGGGTTTTGCTGTGTTGGCCAGGCTAGTCTTGAACTCCTGACCTCAGGTGATCCGCCTGTTTTAGCCTCCCAAAATGCTGGAATTGCAGGCGTGAGCCACTGTGCCTGGCCTGATTTGCTATTCTTTTGTTTGTTTTCACATGCTATTGAATTTAGTACTGATTTTTAAAACATATTTGTAGTTTATTTTCTGTAATTGTATATTGAAGAACAACTCTGACCTGTAAGTAGTAAAGTACACATCAGTTAATACTTTGGAATTTAAGTTCTTGAGCAATTTAAATTTAAACATTTTAAAACTTTTATGCGTTTTGTTTCTTTGACAGGTTACAAAAACAGAATTGGAGAAGTTAAAATCCAGCTATAGACAATTAATAAAAGAAATGAATTCTGCCAAAGAGAAATATAAAGAAGCTTTAGCTAAAGGTAAGGCAAAATTTTAAAAATTGTTTACTTAGGTGATTTTTATTCTTACTATTACAATAGAAAATAATGTCAAAAACCACAATTACTTTTGCACCAACCTAATAGTTGTTTTTTTTTTTTTTTTTCTGTCCATCATTTCCATCATTGTTGTTGCTTTGAACCAGGATCTGATCAATGTAAACATACTGCATTTGATTGTTGTGTCGGTAGACTCTTAATCTTTTCATCTAGAACAGTCCTCCTACTTTTTACTGTATTTTTTTTTCCCCAAGAGTACAGTTTTCTTGTAAAATTTCTCATATGCTGGATTGTCTGATTGCATTCTCATGACTACTATTTAACTTGTCCCTAATCTATCCCCTATATTTCCTATAAATTTAAGGATAGTGCTAGAGGCTCGACTAGATTTAGGTCAAACATTTTTGACAGGACTGCTTCATAGATGACGATGTATACTTTATGTTGCATCCTACTGGGAGGCACATTAAGTTGGCTTGTCTTACTCTCAGTGCTCAGTCAAGTTTGATTACTTAAGTCAAGTAGTGACTGCCAGATCTCTCCATTGTGAAGGTACCTTTACCCCATGTAACTGATAGGTAACTGCAGAGAGATACATTGGCATGTGTGGATAACCTATCCTCCAACAACCTTCTGTCCATTGGCATCACTTGGCATCCATTGATCATTCTTGCCAGTAGCAATATTACATTAACATCCTATCATTTGTAAAATGCCTAGCAGATGACTGGGAGGAGAAAGGAGGGTTGAGGGAAGAAACAGAGAACAGTGCAAAGAGGGAATAAAAAGCTGGAAATGGGAAAACAATTCCAAAAGCTTTGCTGATACCCTTCTCTTTTTACGTTTAACTCTTTCCAAAGTCATGAACTCTTTAAGGTAATGCAGGCTTGAAGCAGTGAGCAAAGAAAGCCTCTTGCTCAGGGCTGTCACTCTAGTAAGAGGTGAATGCATTTCAATTAGAAGTGTTTCTTGACAGCAGCATAAAATAACCGGTACTTAAATGCAAAATACACAGATTTTACCTTCCTATTGCAGGTTAAATTCTGAATACCTTTAGTTGGTTAAACACATGGTTAGGTTTAGCCATAAAACAGTTTTGTGAATCCATAAAGCTTTGTGTCTGCACTAAGTAGTATAAAGGAAATAATATATTTTAAAAATCTTTTTAATTGTATATATTAGGAAATAAATAATGCTCTGAGATTTATCTCTTAGGAGACATCCAGAGGTTTGTTGGAGGTTCTGGCAAATATGGGGAATTCAGGTACTGTTTGCCATCATGTGCCTTAACAACTCCCTTTGACTATCATCAATGCTGTTGTTGTTCGTGGGAAATAATTCTAATATGGGTTTTAGTCTGTTAGTTAATTTAAAAAATCATGAATAGTGAAGGTTTGTGTCAGGAGTAACAAAGTAGTATTTAAGCTGCTGAACCTGCAGTCTGTTTTATACCATCAGGTGAGAGTGAGAGCCGAGTGGGAGGTCTTTCTGGACCAATGGTGTGCAAAATACTCAGCCTTCCTTTCTGTTTTTCCTGTGTCTTACCAGTGAAGAAGTGATGGATGATTGTGGGAATAAATTATGTTGTAAGTACCTGGGATTAGTAAGGATTAGTATTTTAGTATGTATTTGTATAGATGCTGTTTAGGTCTTTTTTTGAAAATCAACTATTGAAATTATGAGATAATCTGAGAAATTTTACCCAGACAGGATATTTGATATTAAGGAAATCTTGTTATATTATAGGTTTGATAATGAGACTGTGATTTTTTTTTGAGGTTCTCTTTATTTTTGAGGTAAATGCGGAAATATACACAGCTGAAATGATGTGATATCTGAGGTTTGCTTCAAAATTATCTAAAGAATAGGGAGTAGGTAGATAGAAGTGTAGGTGAAACGTGATTGGTCATGAGTTGATGATCGTTCAAACCAGTTGATAGGTACATGGAAATATTGAACAATTCTTTCTACTTTTATATAGGTTTGGATTTTTCCACAAAAATTATATAAAAATAAAGAATGTCACCATAAGAAATGAAGGAAACTAGACATTGGCATAGGCAAGGATTTCATGACCAAAAACCTAAAAGCAAATGCAATAAAAACAAATAGCTGGGACCTAATTAAACTAAAGAGGTTTTGCACAGCAAAAGGAACAGTCAGCAGGGTAAACAGACAACCCACAGAGTGGGAGGAAATCTTTAAAATCTATACATCTAACAAAGGACTAAAATCCAGAATCTACAACAAATCAGTAAGAAAAAACTAACAATCTCATCAAAAAGTGGGCTAAGCACATGAATAGACATGAATAGACAATTCTCAAAAGAAGATATATAAATAGCTAACAACCCTATGAAAAAATGCTCAACATCACTAATTTTCAGGGAAATGCAAATCAAAACCACAATGTGATACCTCCTTACTCCTGCAAGAATGGCCATAATCAAAAAATTAAAAAAAAAAAATTGAAAAAAAAAGCAGTAGATGTTGGCATGGATACAGAGCTCAGGGAATGCTTCTACCCTGCTGGTGGGAATGTAAACTAGTCCAGCCACTATGGAAAGCAGTGTGGAGATTCCTTAAAGAACTAAAAGAACTATCATTTGATCCAGTAATCCCACTACTGGGTATCCACCCAGAGGAAAAGAAGTCATACGAAAAAGATACTTGCACACGCATGTTTATAGCAGCACAATTCACAATTGCAAAATTGTGGAACCAACCCAAATGTCCATCAATAAACAAGTGGATAAAGAAACTGTAGAAGAGTATATAAAGAGTGCACCTGCCTTGCACTCTTCCCCTCAAAATCTCTTCCCCTCAAATCCCCAAAGTCCACTGTATTATTCTTATGCCTTTGGGTCCTCAGAGCTTGGCTCCCACATATCAGTGAGAACATAACTCAGGTTTTCCATTCCCAGATTACTTCACTTAGAATAGTAGTCTCCAGTCTCATCCAGGTCACTGCAAATGCTGTTAATTCATTCCTTTTTATGGCTGAGTAGTATTCCATCATATATATATATATATATATATATGGAAAACAAAGAAATCAAAGAAAGGTCTCAGATATTTCAGTATCAGATTATTCTGAACTTATTCCTTATCATTTTATATTTATATGCTAATACATTTATGTATTAATTCCTTCATTTAATCACTCATTTAAGAAGATTTTCTTCTGTTTGGTAAATGCCAGAGATATAAAAATGAAAAGGATGTGGACTCTACCTTCAAGCCATTGAAAGTTGAATTTTTTTTTTTTTGAGATGGAGTCTCGCTCTATCACCAGGCTGGAGGGCAGTGGTGGGATCTTGGGTCACTGCAGCTTCCACCTCCTGGGTTCAAGTGATTCTCCTCTTCAGCCTCCTGAGTAGCTGGGACTACAGCTGCCCGCCACCATGCCCAGCTAATTTTTGTATTTTTAGTAGAGACGGGGTTTCACCACGCTGGCCAGGATGGTCTCTATCTCTTGACCTCATAATCCACCCGCGTTGGCCTCCCAAAGTGCTGAGATTACAGGCATGAGCCACCACGCCTGGCTGAAAGTTGAAATTTTTATAAAATCAAATTTTTACCCAATTAAAAAAATTTTCAAGCCTGTATAAAAGTTGAAATGATAACATAATGAACTCCTGCATACTTTTTACCTGGATTCACAAATTGCCAAAATTTTGTCATGACTGGGCTTCTGCTGTCTCTATTTCTGGCTCTGTCTTTCTATGTGTATATGTATGAACATATTTATATAAAGTTTTCTTTTGATGAAGCACTTGAAAGCATGTTGTAACATCATAACATTTCCTTATAAATATCTAAGCATGTATTTTCTAAGAACTATGTTTTCTAACACAACCCCAAGTTAGCATGCCCAAGGAATTAAACTTTGATACACTAATAAAACTAAATACATACTCTGTTTTCAAATTTATTACAAAAATGTCCTTTATAACCTTGTTTATTTTGGATCCAGGGTCCAAATAAAGGATTATATATTGTGTTAATTGCCATGTAGAAGAATTTCCCTTACTCTCTTTATTTTTTAATAGGTTTATTTTGATACAATTAACATCCAACAGCACTTATTTAAAATATTTATTTTGATAAATTTTGATATATGTACACACCTGTGAAATTATCACTACAATCAAGAAAATGAACATGTCTTTCACCCCTGAAAAATTCCTGGTGTCTTTTTGTAATCCCTGTCTTCCACCTCTCTGTGATCTTCCATCTTCTATCTCCAGGCAACTACTAAACTGCCTTCTGTCACTATATAGTTTGGTTTTCATTTCTTAGAATATTTAAAAAGGAACCATACAGTACACACTCTATTTTGTCTGCCTTCATTTGTTCAGAATAGTTATTTTGAAATCTATCCATGTTGTTGCATGTACCAGTAATTCACTTTTTAAAATTGCTCATTAGGACTCTATTGTATGGGTCTACTACAGTTTGCTTATCCATTTTCCTGTTAATAGGCATTTGAGTTGTTTCCAGTATTGGGCTATTACAAATAAAATGACTGAACATTTATGTACAAATCTTTGTATGGATATGTGGTTTTATTTTCCTTACATTAATACCTAGAGGGGGAATGACTAAATCATATATTGAGATATGTTTAAGTTTTGAGGAGCCTACCAATCATTTCCCCAAAGTATCTGTACCATTTTGCATTCTTTCTAGTAGTGTATGAGTTTCCTCCACATGTTGGTAGTACTTGGTATGACATATTGGTAGTACTTGGTATGTTTCCTCCACGTATTGGTAGTACTTGGTATGACCAGCCTTTGATCTTAGCTGTGTATCTCATTCCAGTTTTACTTTTCATTTTCCTAGTCACCAATGATGTTGAACATCTTTTCATGTGCTTGTTTGCTATTCATATCTTCTTTAGTGACGTACGTGTTCAAACCTGTTGCCTATGTTTAAATTGGATTGATTTCTTATTACTGAGGTTTGAGAGTTCTTTATAT